GCCGTGCATTCAGGTTCCCTCACACATCACCTGAGTTGTCTTGTATTACAAAACAATTAAGGAACAGAAATTAATTAATGTGCAGATTAGGTTTTTGTCAACTTTACACACACTAGAGTCATTTGGGAAGAGGGACTCTTAATTGAAAAAGTGCCTCTAGGTGCCGGGCGAGGTGGTGCACGCCTGTAATCCCAGCACTCAGCACTCGGGAGGCAGAGGCAGGCAGATCTCTGTGAATTCGATGCCAGCCTGGTCTACAAAGCAAGTCCAGGACAGCCAAGGCAACACAGAAAAACCCTGTCTTGAAAAAAAACAAAGATAGACAGAGAGATAGAAAGAGAGGAAAGTACCTCTTTCAGGTTGGCTTGTGTGTGTGTGTGTGTTTGGCATTTTCTTAATGATTGATTTGGGAGGGCCCAGCTCACCCCTGGGATGGTGGCCCTGAATGCCATAAAAAAAAGCAGGCTGAGCAAGCCACAGGAGCAAGCTACTAAGCAACGTTCCTCCGAGGCTTTTGCCTGTTTCTGGCTCCCAGGTTCCTGGCTTCAGGTTCCTTCCTGACACTGGTTTCACTGAGAGACAGTTTAACTGATCCTTATCTGGGGAACAGAAGCTGGGTTCTAGGTTGCCCTCATTGTCTCATAGGTTTTGTTTTTGTTTTTGTTTTTGTTTTTTATCAAGTCTGGGCCTGAGGAAGATGGGAATAGACATTCTATTTTTTGTTTGTTTGTTTGTTTTTCAAGACAGGGTTTCTCTGTGTAGCCTGGCTGTACTGCAACTTGCTCTGTAGACCAGGCTGACTTTGAACTCACAGAGATGTCTGCTTCTGCCTCCCAAGTGCTGGGGTCAAAGGCATGCACCACCACTGCTCAGCCAGACATTCTATCTTAAAGATTCCCCCATCCTCAGGAGAGAAAGGAATCTCTGTAGTTTTGTGGTGTCCTGTGTGAGATGCCCATCTTTCCTGAACTTGGCGGAGTTCTTTGTTTCAGGGTCCACCCTCCTGACAGGTGTAAGACAGAAGGTTTGGTGGAAATTTTTTTTCCCTCTCTCCTTTTCTTTGGCAGTCAACTTCAGGCTCCAACTCCTGCCTGCCTATTAAATCTCCCAATATATTAAGTACAAAAATAATAACTCGGAAGGGAAGGGTACACGCCTTTCCTCTGCCCTGCCAGGGCTTCCACCCATTCTCTGATCATGGTGTCAACTAATTATAATATGTATCCTCTCTTGTAGGGTACTAGGAAGACAGCCAGGCAAGAAAAGATCTAACTGGGCAGGGGGTGTTGAATGAGATGCTCCCTGTAAGTCTTAGGCATTAGAATACTTGATTCCTAGTTGGCTGAACTGTTTGAGAAGGATTAGGAGGTGTGGCTTTTTTGGAGGAGGTGTGTCAGAGCTCTCAGGCCAGTAGCGGTGGTGCATGCCTTTAATCCCAGCCCTCAGGAGGCACAGGCAGGCTGATCTCTGCGAGGATATAGTCGCCTGGACTATACAGCAAGTGCCAGGGAAGACAAGACTATATAATGAGACCTTGACTCAAAAAATAAATAAATAAATAAATAAATAAATAAATAAATAAATAAATAAATAGTGCACTTTCAGCAGCTGCCTGCCAACTTTATCTTTGCTAACCATCATAGACTCTAACCCTCTGGTACAGTAAGCCCCAAATAACCCCTTCCTTCTGTATATTGTTTGTGTTGTGATATTTTAACACATCAACAAAAAATAAAGGTAAGGGGGGAGGGGGAGACACCTGTGTTAGGATGAGGTTTAATTTTAACTGGGCATGTTAATTAGAGCAGCCAAAGGGGTTTTTGATTGCTGAACTTTGGTGGTCGGCCTCAGGAGGAGGAAGTGGCCAAATAAGGGAACGGACCTTGGTGGCTAGGTTTAGGACTATAATCTGGTTTTTAGCAAGGCAGAGGGAATGAAGAAGGGCAAGGCCTGCCAGAGCCATGCTCACCCCGCTCCAGCTAGCCAGCATCCATTCACATGAGCCCCCAAAATGGTTAAAGAATACAAAACAAGGAAGGCAAAAAAAAAAAAAAAAAAAAAAAAGCTGTAATGCTAAGGACAAAAATCTCAGAAATACCCCAAGGGGCAGCAGGGATGTTTGTCCATCCGGAATCCAATCATTTGTCTTTTGCTCCTTCTTGAAAGACGTGTCTGAACTCCATGTAGCTGAAATCCCTTTTTGTCAACAGAGGTTTCAAGAAGCTCACCCACTTCTTTCCTGTGCTCAATCACCCATAGATACCAGCACGTCTCTAAGGTAGTCTTTCTGGCCCAGTTGCTTCTTCATCAAAGCAACCAAAAGCATTCCTGGTGACATCTTCAGGATCTGTGTCAGTCAACTTCTCACCAAATATAGTCAGAAACATGCTGAGATGGATGGAGCCTGGCGCCTCATTCATCATGACATTCAGGTGTCTACCAACTGAATTTTTTCCCCAGGGAGGCAAATAGACACACAGTTCTTCCTTGTCCAGGAAGCAAGTCTGGTTCTAGTTGATTCTGTCTTTTGTTTGTTTGTTTGTTTTCTGAGACAGGGTTTTCTCTGTGTAGCCCTGGCTGTACTGAAACTCACTCTGTAGATCAGGCTGGTCTCGAGGCTCAGAGCCCCTCATGAGTGCTGGGATTAAAGGTGTGGGCCACCACTGCCCAGCCTAGTTGATCATGTTAAAGGTCTGTTTTGCCTCCTGAATCTGTGATTGGCCAAACATTGCAAACACCTTGGGTGTTGTGGGCTGAGGGTCCTTCTTGGTGATTTTGGCTGTTGCCCTTTTGCTTGACATGGTGATGGTTAAGCCGTTGCATACAGCCAATAGAATCAGAGCACGCTGGCAAACCAGTGCTTTGCTTACTGTTGTCACCATTCTGCCAACCCAGAATCCCCCACTGAACTGCCACGTCCAGCATCCACTAGCAACCTGGCAGGTGGCTGACGTTTTCTAGTCAAGACCGAATCCTGTGCGGATACCATCTAAGTGGAGTTAATCACAAGGAGGGAGACATCACATCCCTGGGGTACTCCCTCTACCCTCTAGATGTCTTGCCTACTAGGAGAGGGAGCTAAGAAGAAGATGTCATGGATGGGCCTCAGGGATAAGTGCCCTGGCCAGAAGATTAAAAAAAAATAAACAAAAAAAGGTCCAGTTTTAATGTGAGGGGCATTTAGCACTCATTAATGACCCACAGATAAGCAGGAGGCACTAGGCCCCTGTCTTCTCTAGCTAGCAGCTGGCACCTTCCTACATGGGCTCTTTTTAGTTTATCATTGATTGAAAATTCACAATTTTCTAAGCAACTGGGTCTGTGTAAACAAAAAGGGGAAGGAGATTTTGAGCCCCAAAAGGATGGGGAATTTTGAATGGGAATTATGCGAGACAAGTAGGGAAAAGTTTACCTCCCTGAAGAACCTAGCCAGTGAGGAATTCAGAGGGACAGGGAAATACGGTTAAGGATATAAAAACCAAGCTGGGCAGTTCTGGCAAACATCTTTAATCCCAGCACTTGGGAGGCACAGCCATGAGGCTCTCTAATTTGGGGTTAGCCTGGTCTACAAAGCTACAAAGTGAGTCCAGGATAGGCAAGACTATACACGAGAAACCCTATCTTGAAAAACCAAAACCAAAACAAAACAAAAACAAACAAAGCAAACAAAAACAAAAAAAAAAAAAAACAAGAAAACCCACTATTATGAGCTAAATTTGCAGGCTAGCTATTTTTGCCTTTTCTATAGGTTGCACAGATTTTGCAAGGTTGTAAAATAAATTTTCGCTTTCCTACTGAGTCCCAGCCCTGAAATTATGAAGATCGTTGTTTATCATACATTACATCAGAAAGGTCTTAATGCCTTCTCTCAGTCCCATTCTACCAAAGGCCTCAGATGCCAAGAGTCCCCTTTGAAATGCTGCTTTGTTGGGAACAAGCAAAAAGAGCTTATTCTAAGTACTACTATTTCATTTTCAGACTCCATTTAATCATAGGGAGAAACTAAATTCAAAGTTCCAGGTCCTAGGGGAGCTGAAAACTTCCCAGTAACTGAACCGCTTCTGTTGTAAGGAAACAGTTGTCTGAGTCCAAACTATCTCAAGGACAACTTCTCCATCTTGCTGGCAGGATCAAACAAGTTCAGGCCCAAGGACCTACTCCTACCCTGATTGATGGAAACTCCCATGCTCAATCCCTTATGTCAAAATATGATCGGACAATGCTACAGCCCACCCCGCTCCCCCTTGCTCTATGGTTTTTACCCTTTAAATATGCAATTACAGCCTCCCCTTGGGGACTCGGTTCAAATCCTGAACTGGTCTCCTCCCTGAGTGCACAGAAAATACAGCTTGCATTTTAAGTTTCTGTCTCTGAAATGAGTTTTCTCAGCTTCCACCCTGAACCCAACAGTGTGAAGGGGCATAAAGACTTCACAAGTACAGGTGGAGAAGGGCTCTCTCTCAAAGCTGGATGGAGGGAGCTTGTGGAAGACTCCTCCTATGCTGCGGGACCTGAAGAGCCCCGGATGGAGTGACAGCAAGAGCGCTAAGAACCTGGAGAGTGGAGGATGGGGACTTGGAAGTGAAGCTTTGCCTGACTGTGACCATATCCCTGCAGAGCCATGCAAGGATGTAAGTAAAGGCCGGAAACGAAAGCTTGAATCAAGCTGTTGCCAGAGCAACAGAATGGGAGGAGGTGGGGGTACAGCGACTAAGTTCTGTCTCCATAGAGGCTGCGCATGCTGGAATCAACATTCCTAGTCACCTGCACCAGGATGCGAAGGGACAGCTGAGTTCTGGCGGGAGCACTCATACTCAGGCTGACCAGGATGGTCTCATCTCTAATTCTGCCTGCTCTGAACCTCACACACTGAAGACACATCCCTGAACCTAGGGTGTAGTTCTCCAGAATTTTCGGATTGAGGAGGGGGAATGTGTTGAGCTGAGGGAGCGGGTGGGGCACGGTGCTCTCATGAGCCCAGTTGACCCGGGCCTCAAGTCATGGCGCCTAGGAGGAGGCGCGGACAGTTCACCTCGCGCAAGCAGGCAGCTGACAGTGGGGACTTCCCGCTCTCCGAGCACGCGCAGTACCTGCAGCGCGAGTACACGCTGCTCTCGGACAACCTGGTGGCCTGTGAGCAGCATGTGGAGCAGGTGCTGCAGAACAATAAGTTCCTGGACCGCGAGGCACGGCGCTTGCGCGAAGAGAACCGGCTTTATGCCAGTTATGTGAGCGCGCACGCCCAGCGCTGTGCCAGCTCCATCGTGCGCCTCGAGGACCAGAACCGCATGGACCTGGCGCTGATCCGGTGGCAACGAGCCGAACTGGCGTCTCTTTACCAAGGGCGTGAGGAAGGAGTGCGTGCGCAGCTAGTAGAAATGCAGATGCGCGCAGAAAACATGGCCCAGAAGGTTCAGGAGCTTCAGCCCTACAAGGCCAGTGCGAGCGGTCCCTCGGACCGGGCGGGGTCGAGGGGGATGGGCGTGCTCCCCAGCTGTTTGCTGATCCGCGACCTCCCTACAGGAGCTGCAGCTGGAGCAGCTGGCGAGAATCCGGACCCTGGAGCGCGAGCTGCTGCACATGCGCGTGGAGCACACGCTGCTTCTCAACCGGGCGAAGCGACGTTTCATGGAAAACAAGACGACTTTCGAGCGTGAGGCCCGCCAGCAAGTGCTGTCCTTGGCGCGACGCGCAGAGCGGACGGCAGCTCGTGCCCTCATTTCGCACACCCAGGGCATCAAGTCGGACAATGGGCGTCTCCGTCAAGAGCTCCTGAGGCTTCTCCTCCGGGCCCAGTTACTGCTGGAGATGCGGCAGGAGCTGCTAGAGCAGCGGGAGCAGCTGCAGCAGGAACACGTGAACGTGGGGAACATGCAGCATCTACACAGCTGGCTGCACAGGGGGCCCGACGGGCCACCGCTCTGGCAGCCGCCCCAAAGCCTCCCATCCAGCTTGTGCGTCAGCTCGGTTAAATCTCCTGTGGAGTCGTCCAATATCACTTTAAGGGCCCAGCTTCTGTCCCAACCATTTTTGATCCCCCCGGCCCAGTCGGTGTCACAACATGAGCCCAAGACTCTGTGTACAGACTCTTCTTTGGCCCCACCTCAAAAGTCTGTGATGGCTGTCCCAAGTCCATCACGTTTGGCAGCTCACGCCCCGTCTCTGACTCCCTTGTCCAGGAGCCCGCGGATCTCCCCGACCGCGTCAGTCAAAGGCTCCCAGGCCCTGCTGTCGGCTACCTCTTCCGTGCAGCCACGGTCGCGTGAGGATTCTCGGATCTCTCCACAGCCCTCTACGTATGAGCTTTCCCAAAAAACTGTCCCATCTGCAAAAGTCAGCAACAAGCCTCTCTCAATTCAGTCCCAAGATCGGGTCCCTCTCAACCCGCAGATGGAGGAAACTGCAAACACTGAGAATGCCACAGAAGCTGTCTTGGGGAAAGCCTGAACCCATAAGAGGGAGCAGGCCGGTAGGGTCGTGAGGTGGGAGAGACATACACCTTGGAAGCTTTCTTGGTTACATAAGGATATTAATAAAAATGGAAAATAAACCCCTTGACGCCCTGGCACCAGCTTGGTTCGCATCCCCTGTATTTCAGGTGAGCAATGGCTGACCATGGGAGCTACAAGTGAGCTCCAGATCTCCTTGCCTGCTGGAATTCAGTGCCCTTCCACCAACAGCCAGCCTGGGTAAGGAGCCAGCTAGGCAGGCATAGACAGCACTCAGGGGAAGTTGGGTAGTGTAACTTCAAGGGAATTTCTGCAGAAGAGAGCAGATTCTGTTCTCATCAGCCTAGGAAGAGCCTACTGGGCTTTCCCATCATTAAATTTAGGGAACTGCAAGATTTATCTGGGATTCTCAATGCCACACATCTAGAGAAACAGGAATACATAGGTTTTGATATTCTGAGTCATCTGGGATTCTGTTGGAAACAGTTCTAGCTTTACTGTGTGTGTTTACTGGATAGCACTTTGACCTGTTTTCTTCCAGTGTTGGGGGTTGAACCCAAGGCTGTATGGGTGATAAACCTACACCTAAGCTACATTCCTATCCCTGTCCCGCATTTCTTCAAAACACAATCAAAATTAGGAAATTCACCTTGGAGAAAATACTATCTACTAAATCATACTGGCCAGTTAGATTTTGTCACTTGTCCCAGTGGTATCTGGAGCTAGCTATGCCCCTTTCCTTGGTCACATCTTGTCCTGTCCTGTCCTTGAGGGACTCTCTCTATAGAGCAAGCTGGCCTTGAACAAAAGAGATTCTCCTGCCTCTGCTTCCCCACTGCTGGGATCAAAGGTGTGTATCACCACCCCAGCCCTTTCATTCTAATGTGCAAAGCCAGTCTTTAAAATGTTCCTTAACTGAGGTTTGAACTCTTGTCAACACAGTCAGGGACACTGACTTTGGACACATTTCCTGTCTAGAATTCTGTTCACGACAGGTGGTCCCTCCCAGTCCAAGGTGCAGGGAGCCCACAGCTTCTATACTTCTGACACTGACTGGGAATTCTCCAGTGCATGTGGGCTGGGACACGGCCTTAGACAGCAACCCCCATGAACCTCCCCCCTGTCTGGACCAGGGTAGCTTAACTAGACAGTTGCTAGAACTCGGATGCGGCCGTTTCGGGGACAAGATTGGATTGGATTAGCAAAGTAGAGGGATCTCGCACAAGAGCTCAGTCTTGAATTCCTTCTTCAGCATAACTGATCAGGCCTTTTCAACCACTCACACATTGTTGCGGGATAATGCAAATGGTGGAGCCACTTCAGGAGACAGCTTTAGGATTTAACAAAACTGCACTAAAATTTTTTTTGCCCTGGTGGTGGTGGTGGGTGCCTTAAATCCCAGCATTGGGAGGCAGAGGCAGAGGCAGAGGCAGAGGCAGAGGCAGAGGCAGAGGCAGAGGCAGAGGCAGATGAATCTCTTTGAGTCTGAGGCCAGCCTGGTCTACAGAGTGAGTTCCTGGACATTCAGGGACTACACAGAGAATCCGTGTCTCAAAAAAAAAAAAAAAAAAAAAAAAAGAAAAGAAAAAAGAAAGAAAAAAACTTGTAAAAATTTTTTAGGGATTGGGGAGACAGCTTAGCAGTTAAGAGCACTGGTTGCTATTCCAGAGGTCCTGAGTTCAATTCCTAGCACTCACATGGTGGCTCACAACCATCTCTAATGGGATTGGATGCCCTCTTCTGGTACATACATGTACATTCAGACAAGGTACCCATATACAGAAAATACATAAACAAAATCTTTAGAGTTTTATGTGGACGGGTGACTTACCTTTGTGTATATACGTGTACCATGAGCATGCTTGGTGCCTGCAGAGGTAAAAGGAAGTGTCTGATTCCCAGGAACTAGAGCTACAGATTTGGTGAGCCACTTCGTGGGTGTTAAAGAATCAAACCTGGGTCCTCAGCAAGAGCAGCAGATGCTTATCACTGAGCCATCTCTCCAGCTACCTAGGTGGCGTCTTCTAAGATCTAACAGTCCAGTCCAAGGGCCTCCAGGACTGCTGAATGAAGAGAGGAGTGTATAGGCCATGAGGGAGCATGTTCTGCTGTCCAAGAGCAGCCTCATGACCAGTTTAAAGCACACCTCTCTGTTGGTATAATGTTCTTTTTAAATGTATACGCCTTACCCTTGTTAATTCAAATGCTGATTTCCACACCCCCAACTCTCTGCTTTCAATCTGGCTATTGCATTGTGATACTCACTATAAGCATCCTGTCTCAACTCTTGTGTAAACAGGACACAAATAAAGCAACTAGATACAATGCTGTGCAATGGGAGGAGCCAGAGGACAGGAAAGAGGGGAGGAGCTAGAGAACAGGAAGGGGCGAGAAGGAGGAGGAGCTCGAGGAGAGGAGAGCGCGAGGAGAGCAGAGCGGGAGGAGAGAGCTTGGAGGACTTAAAGCATGAACCAGACCTAAGATTTCACAAAAAGCAAGTAAAATGTGGGAAATCTAAATGTTAGGAAACTGAGGGCTTGGAGGTTTAGGAGGGAGTAA